AGTGCAACTAGATCTAAGACTCGGGTATCATCAGAGGGTCACAAAGATCGAGAGGCGATTAAATGCAACACACGAAGATGGGGAAAGGCCCAACTGATACGTGTTTCTTGATGAGATCGCGTCCAATAATGAAATACATGGCCCCTGAACCGGAGTCGAGAAGCAACTCCGATGAAGGGCTGTCAAAGGTAGCCGAGATTAGAAGCCTTTTGGGAACTAATATGAGAATTAATGAGTTATAGACAGAAAAGTGATGACGTGAGTTGGGAAAGCACAAGCGATGCTCGACAAAAGACTTGGCCGTCCCGACTCCATCATCCAAAGACTTACCGGAGTATCTCACAATTGCGAATAGGCTACACGGGGCCATTAAAGTCCACCCTGCTTTACCTATAAATGTCTGCAAAAATGAGAACATAAAACCTTTTCAGATAATCCTAGACTCCATTGCTGATAAATACCCGCAAGCTACATAGGATAGACTCTAACGCAAACAAGATAGACACAATTCTGACCCGGCTAGGGACCAACTAAAATGCATGCGAAACAAGCATCTGTGTGAATATACAACATATATCAGATATGGACTAGGCCTGAAGATCTATGAACAGCACACTCAGCACCAGAACAAATCTACGTCGCTACCATGGCAAAGTATAGATCCGAGCCGCAAGAGACATTTGAGGACACGAAGAAAACCCGCAAGAAATGGCTGATATTGTAACCTAGACCAAGTGTGAGAGATATCTAGTAATTTGCACAAATAAAGAAAATTGAAATGATAGGGCACAAGACCACTGATCGCAATCTGATTAAGACAGTAATACATAACTATTAATAAATAAAGACAAACCGATCGTTAAGCATTAAATGAAGAGATGACACAGAGGGATAATAGCGATAACGCAATCAAAAACCATATACGAAGAAGTCAACTTGGTAGACACACTCACAACAGTAAAAGATGTTATTTGATTTGCCAGGATTACGACGCCAACGTCGTGGATGAGGTTCACAAAAGACAACATAGCAAGGTCGCAGAGGCAAAGAATAGCTTCGGAGAGAATAAGAAACGGGATCGATAATTTCCTGAGGTCCGTCGCGAGTAGCATACATGGGCGATTCGCCATAGTGAACAACGCACTGTCAACAAGAATCCAAGAAATTAGAGATGCCAAAGACAAGCTGGAGAACTCGCTTAAGAAAGTAAGCAAGTATAACCAAAAGTGAATATTATTTCAAATTATAACATGTGAATTTAATTATTTACAGACAAAAAGAGAGATATTCGACATAGAGGAAGCTATTGAACTGATAAATAAGTCATTGGCCGACAAGCTACCACCCCTTAGACTGGCTGAGACTAGACTGGAGGAGCGCGTGCGCCGAACCAATGTAGAGAACTGCCAAGATACATCAATGGAGGCGTAAGTATGTCGTAGAGGCCATGTATACTTTTTAAAAATTCTAATTCATTATTCCTTGTTTAGACTGCAGCGTGAAGTGAACGAAATACGCTCTGCCATCAGATTG